TTTGTCAAAAGTTAAAATCTCCCATTATCACAACATTTCATAGCCAGATGCCTTTGAATTTCGTCCCATAACAGCTTGCTGCACTCCCTATCAAGGTTGGGGGCCTATAAATCACACCCAAAATTAATTTGTCACGTCCCTCGAGAAAATGTAAACCAAACAGATTCAGTGTTTGATGTTTCTAATCTTATATCATGTCTAAGACAACAATTTAAATTTTCTCTGACATACATCGCCACTCCACCACCCTTCCTTGACCCTATCAATGTGGAATAGTTTATAACCCGTATGTTGCATTCAAAGGCATTTCTCTATCTTTCAGGTTGAACCAGGTCTCTGTTATACCAATAATATCTATATTACCTACACTTGCAAGTAATCTTAGCTCATCTATCTTATTTCTTAGACTCCTACTATTTGTATAGTAAACCTTAACCCTTTGAGGGTTTTCGTCGTACTAGTACGTCTTACGAGTAGGGGTTTTTGACGTACTAGTACTCATAAATTCTAGCGGCCTCAAATCTAGTGGGAGAAAGCTGGTTGGCCTTCATATGAAAGAATGGGTCTATGTGGTCAGTGTGCACAGTCTAAAAAAAATCCTGCAGCACACAGTGCATAATGAGAAAAAAAAAATTTTTACCATTTTTTTTTAATAAATCAGTGACTTTGCAGTGTATTTTCGTATGGTATTTATTGTTCTATTCTAGTTTTCTTGGTCTCAAATTTATAGAATGGAAGACATAATTTCAGAAAATTTAAAATGATTTTGACTGGTTTTACAATGAAAGGTGCCTTGAAATTAAGCTCAAAGTAGCAGAAATGTTCGATTTTACCAAACTTCAAAAGTAACAATCATGCCAAGCGTGCAATACACGTCAACTGGTGAGTCTAATATTCTTTCACAATGCACCAATAATATTTATACCATTTTTTACACTAAAGCAGTAGTCAGCATAACAGTAAATCTTAATTTTTTGTGAGAATAAAATTCAAAGTGGAAAGCAAAAGAATATAAGGAGGGGCCTTGAGACGTGACTAATGACTAAGGAAATGTCATTTTAGTGCCAGGAATGTCTATCTTGTTTATTCTGGACCCTATTCGGAAATTGGCATCTTTTGAAATTTGTGTGAAATTGGCAAAATTGCTAAATTCTGACCACTGTACTGGATAGTTGAATTTATAAATGGGTGGTTTCTTGCACCCATTCGATAGAAAAAATGGAGTTCTAGCGAAATATTCATGTTTTTTGTCGACTAGTACAGTGAAATTGGCCGAAAATGGGGCTCAAAGTGGGCAAAATCGCCGATGCGTAAACATCGCCGAGACCGCTAACTTTGCGAGAGCATAATTCCGTAAGTTTTCTATCAAATTTCAAACTTTTGGTGTCGTTATGATCGGAAAAAGATTCTCTATCTTTTCATAAGAGAAAATAATTTTTTTTTTTTTTTAAATTTGGCCGACCCTGAGAACGAGTTTCGGAGAGGGCCTGTCGACCCTCAAAGGGTTAAGGGAGCTAGTCACTCGTTGCCCTCTACTATCTCTCTTTGTTTGTTGGTCAATTGATTTACCATTACGTACTAGCAACTTTATTTTGAATATTGTCTTTAAACATATCCCTGAGGTATCCCGGTAATAACTGCTGTTTTTAACCCTAATGCTGCAGCCTGATTGTTTCCCACAAACACCCATACCTCTATTATCTACCGGGTGGGTTTAAAACCCAAGGCCAGCACGTGGCAAAACTGCAGGCCAGTGTGTAAGCCACTGGTCCAGTGGCTTACACACTGACCTGCAGTTTTAGGATTCACTTGCCATGGGTTCTATCCCACCCGAACCATGATCTGTTTGCAACTGTGTTATTACGATTTCGTGAGTCTTTGTAATTACCATTGTTATTTTGATATTATTGAACAGAACTGCCACTAAAAGTTAAAACTACTCATTATTAAGACATCCAAAATGAAACAATCATACACACCTAATAAAGTCCCACATCACAGTGTAACTGTATTAGTAAGGAGTCCTAGTTTTAGTCTGTCTGAAATGTTTTGCATAGCCAGGGTGCCTTTCAAAAAAAAAAAAAAAAAAAAAATAGAACAAATGTAAAACTGTACTCCTTATTCAATGATTTATATCAACTCTTCAGAAGATCCGCTGAAGAGGATCCCAGAAGGGAGTTGAAATATACAGATCAATTAATCTTGAGAGTTTTTGTCTCCATGCAAGTTATTTTTGAGCATTATTGTTATTATTATTATTATTATTATTATTATTATTATTATTATTATTAATGCTAGATAAGAACAGTTGTTCTCACTTATATAGTCTTACTTGACTGACAGACATCAGTATTTGACTATCAATTACACTCCCTTATTAACACAAACTACCAACTTAGTGTAACATTCTTGGTATTCATTCTTATGATAAAGTAGACACTTGTACAACACTTAGGTATCTTTCTTGTACAACACTTGGATATAATCCTTGTACAACACTTGGGTATCTTACTTGTACAACACTTGGGTATCTTACTTGTACAACACTTGGGAATCTTCCTTGTGCAACACCTTGGTACCTTCCTTGTGTAACACTTGGGTACCTTCCTTGTGCAACACTTGAGTTTCTTCCTTGTAAAACACTGGCATCTTCCTTGAACAACACTTGGGCATCTTACTTGTACAACACTTGGGCATCTTCCTTGTACATCACTGGGCCCTTTGTTGTTCACAATATATATAAATGACATAGATGAGGGAATAAATAGTGACATCAGTAAGTTTGCTGATGACACAATAATAGGCCATCTAATTCATTCTAATGAGGACATTAGAGCACTCCAGGAAGATTTGAATTGACTGATGGAGTAGTCAGATAACTGGCAGATGCAGTTTAATATAGACAAATGCAAAGTTCTAAATGTTGGACAGGACAATAACCATGCCACATATAAACTAAATAATGTAGACCTTAATATTACTGATTGCAAAAAGGATTTAGGAGTTCTGGTTAGCAGTAATCTGAAACCAAGACAACAGTGTATAATCTTTTCTTTCAACAAACCGGCTGTATCCCACCGAGGCGGTGTGATCCAAAAGGAAAAACGAAAGTTTCCCCTTTTAAATTTAGTAATATATACAGGAGAAGGGGTTACTAGCCCCTTGCTCCCGGCATTTTAGTCGCCTCTTACGACATGCATGGCTTACGGAGGAAGAATTCTGTTCCACTTACCCATAGAGGAGCAGTGTATAAGTGTTCGCAATAAAGTGAACAGAATCCTTGGCTTCATATCATGAACATAAATAATAGGAATCCTCAGGTTTTTCTTCAACTCTATATATCTTCAGTTAGGCCTCATTTAGATTATGCTGCACAGTTTTGGTCACCCTATTACAGAATGGATATAAATGCACTGGAAAATGTACAAAGGAGGATGACAAAAGTTGATACTGTGTACCAGAAATCTTCCCTATGAGGATAGACTGAGGGCCCTGAATCTGCACTCTCTAGAAAGGTGTAGAATTAGGGGTTATATGGCTGAGGTATATAAATGGAAAACAGGAATAAATAAAGGGGATGTAAATAGCGTGCTAAAAAATATCTAGCCAAGACAGGACTCACAGCAATGGTTTCAAGTAGGAAAAATTCAGATACAGGAAGGATATAGGTAAGCACTAGTTTGGTAATAGAGTTGTGAATGAGTGGGACAAACTCCTGAGTACCGTCATAGAAGCTTAAACATTGTGTGGTTTTAAAAATGGGTTAGATAAATACATGAATGGGTGTGAGTGGGTGTGAGTTGGACCTGACTAGCTTGTGTTAAAAGGTCTGATACCGTGCTCTTTCCTTAAGTGGATGTGACCTGGACCTGACTAGGTTGGGTCAGTGGCTTAAGCTGGAAGGTGACTTGGACCTGCCTTGCATGGGCCAGTAGACCTGCTGCAGTGTTCCTTCTAATGTTCTTATGTATCTTCCTTGTACAACACTTGGGTATCTTCCTTGTACAACACTTGGGTTCTTCCTTGTACAACACTTGGGTATCTTCCTTGTACAACACTTGGGTATCTTCCTTGTACAACACTTGGGTATCTTCCTTGTACAACACTTGGGTATCTTCCTTGTACAACACTTGGGTATCTTCCTTGTACAACACTTGGGTATCTTCCCTGTACAACACTTGGGTATCTTCCTTGTACAACACTTGGGTATCTTCCTTGTACAACACTTGGGTATCTTCCTTGTGCAACACTTGGGTATCAACCTGTTGGTTTTCTGAACCATTCATCTACATTCCTGTCAGACACAGTAACATCTTGGGATCTTGATACAGGGAATTCTACATTTGTCTAACCTACAGACACAACCTACTTCCACCTGTGGATTTGTTCAAGGTGACACCACCTACAACAGCTTCACTTCTACAGTATATAAAATCCTTCTTTGAACATATGCTGTACTCCTATCAATATTGACGGACTGATTACATCGACTCCAAACTGAGGGACTGATTACCTCAGACTCCTTCCAATCTTCAATTATTCTACTCTCTATTGGAATGAGGAAGCCACTGGTTGGCGAAACATTTCCACAATAAAAATCACCAAATGTTGCACAAGTGTTTAATTCATCAATCTGTCAGTTCTCTGAACCAGTTATTTACATTCATTCTGATGTTCACACAATCATCAATCTGTTTAAACATATGTATTAACCAAACTTATCTTCTATCTCTGTAATCCCCAATACAAATATTGTACCAAAATGTTATAATTTATACACCAAAAGTGTTACAGTTTTTTAAAATGTCAAATACGGCAATCTAATTAGATGTTATAAATGGTTTGCATGACGAGAGACTTTCTATAAAGTTGTTATACAGGTAAATAACTCCAATATCAGCTGTATATGATGCACTGCTTGACAAAAATAAATCTGTTTGTTTGGGTTTTGGTAATGTTATAGGCACAAGTGGATGCCTATGCTGACACACTGATCTTACCTACAGTCCTAATGACATCAAGCACCATGGTGTTGGTCAGCTTATTCAAGAGGCTGGAGCCAGCTGCTTTAGGCTGAACCTCTGCAATGTCACCGGAGCGGCCCACACCATGGCCCATGCCATAATGGCGCCGAGCGACCAGCCCTGAAGAAATGTTAATTTTATGTGAATCTGTACAATATCAGAGAAATATTGATATAACTTTCACCCTGTTTCTCATTGTTAAATGAGGGATAGATCTGCAAATAATGAGCAAGTACAGGAAGTCCCCATTTTTATGGCTCTAAGGTTCCTGACTCCTGCCAATCACACAAAAAAAAGAGCATTTTTTTTCAATATTGAATGTGTCTAAAATGCCTGATAACATGTTAACACTATCATTTATTAAGTGCTCAATACAGCTAGGCATAAAAATAAAGATACAAAACTAACATAAATACACAGTACATACAATACTTTCTTTAAAATATGATGCAATATGCTGCACAAAAATGATTGAAAAGTGGAAAAAGCACTGAATGAACAATAAATCATATGATTATCACCAAAAAACTGACTGAAAAGAGGAAGCCAAAAACATGGGGCTCTCCTGTATTACATGACATTATAAGGGGGCTCAAGAATATCAATGACACCTCATATTTCACTCAGAATCCCTCCCACTTTAGCATCTGTATAAAGTTATTTTGTGGCTCAGTGGTATAGCAATCAGTTTCACCAAATCCTGGGCAAGAAAAAATGCTTGATGATGTCTCCTTACGCAAGACTGTTCACTCACCTACCAATAAATACATGTATATGCCTATTAGTTAAAGAATATTGTGAATCACAGCCTAGGGAAGAAGACCCTAGGACCCAACTGAAATAAGCTACAGTGCCTGGAGTTCTAGGATTATCCTCATTTATTAACCCTTTGGGTTAATCCTTAGAAAGTATTGTGAATAAAGACATTTAACCCTTTGACTGTCACAAGCCCCTTTCTAAAATTGTCATTCTATGTTGCAAAATTTTAGAAAAAAAAAATTATTTTTTCTTATGAAATGATAGAGAATCTTTTCCCGATGGTAATGACACCAAAAGTACAAAATTTGGTCGAAAACTCACGGAATTACGCTCCCGCGAAGTTAGCGGTCTCGGTGACATATACGCATTGGCGATTTCGCCGACTCTGAGCCCTGTTTTTGGCCAATTCTATTGTTCCAGTTGACCAAATTCATAGCTATTTCTTTAGAACTCCATTTTTTTTCTATCAAATGAGTACAAGAAACTGTCCATTTACCGATTTGAACTACCCAATAAAGTGGTCAGAAACTGGCAATTTGGCCAATTTCAAGCAAATTAAAAAAGATGCCAATTTCAAAATAGGGTCCAGAATAAACAATGTAGACCTTGGCACTAAAATAACATATCCTCTGTTCATTAGTCACATCTCTAGGCCCCTCTTACATTACTATTGCTTTCTATTTTGATTTTTTATTCATACAAAAAATACAAAATTTACTGTTATGCAGACTACTGCATTATTGTAAAAATGGTATAAATAATATCAGTGCATTAGTGAAAGAATATCAGACTCCCCAGTATTGGACGTGTGGTGTGATTTGCTTACTCTTGAACATTGGTAAAAATTGAACATTTCCGCTACTTTGAGCTCAATTTCAAGGTCATTTTCATCATGAAATTAATCAAAATCATCTCTATTTCTGCAATATGTTTTCCATTTTATCACTGAGACCATGAAAACGAGAATACAACGATAAATACTATACGTAGATACACCTCAAAATCGGCGTTTTAATCCAAAAAAATGGTCAGTTTTTTTTTTCATTATGCACTGCGTGCTGCAGGATTTTTTTTTATGTGGTGCACACTGACCACACAGACCCATTCTCTCACATGTGGGCCTACCAGCTTTCTCCTGCTTGATTTGAAGCCGCTAGAATTATTGAGTATATATATATGTCCGAAACACTGGCTCGTAAGATGTATATATACAGTGGGCCCCCGGTATTCGATATTAATCCGTTCCTGAGAGCTCATCGAATACCAAAAATATCGAAAAGCGAATCAATTTTCCCCATAAGAAATAATGGAAATCAAATTAATCCGTGCAAGACACCCAAAAGTATGAAAAAAAAAAATTTTACCACATGAAATATTAATCTTAATACACACAAACTGAAGAAGACATGCACAGTTACATGATACTTACCTTTATTGAAGATCTGGTGATGATTGATGGGATGGGAGGAGGGGAGAGTGTGGATGATGTTAGTGTTCAGAAGGGGAATCCCCTTCCATTAGGACTTGAGGTAGCAAGTCCTTTTCTGGGGTTACTTCCCTTCTTTTAATGCCACTAGGACCAGCTTGAGAGTCACTGGACCTCTGTCGCACAACAAATCTGTCCATAGAGCTCTGTACCTCCCGTTCCTTTACGATTTGTCTAAAATGGGCCACAACATTGTCATTGTAATAGTCACCAGCACGGCTTGCAATAGCTGTGTTAGGGTGATTTTCATCCATAAAGGTTTGCAGTTCAACCCACTGTGCACACATTTCCTTAATTTTTGAAGTATGCACAATGGATTCCACAACTGGCATAGGCTTCTCAGGGTTAGCCCCAAACCCTTCAAAATCTTTCTTAATTTCCATACTAATTCTCACCCTTTTTACCACAGGGTTGGCACTAGAAGCTTTCTTGGGGCCCATGGTGACTTATTTTGCAGAAACAAGCACCAAAAACAGTGATAATGTGGATAATATGGAATGTACCGAATGTATCCTTAGATGCGCGCAAACTGGCTGGCTTGTAAACACTGGTACACCAGGGGCAGTTCAGGCCACACGTGGACACATCTCGTATGAATCGTATCAAATACCGGGTTTTCAATTGGATACCGAGGCAAAATTTTTGTGTTAAAATGCATCGAATACCAGATTTATCGAATACCGATGCCATCGAATACCGGGGGTCCACTGTACAACCAAAACAGTCGAAGGGTTAAAGAAATTATTGGCTCAGAAGAATGTAATTTCTATTAACAAACCCAAGCTTTCTGTATTTACACAAGAAGATAATGACTACACTTGCATGAAAACCAAACCAACCTGTAAAATTCTTATAACAATGTTCCAAATTTTTTTTTAAAAATTCTCAATGCCTGAAGGTAACTCAGATGCCTTGGGGAGTCAATACTGTACCTTAAGGTCAGAGACGAGGCAGAGAAAATAAGTTGTCAAAAAAGAAGAAACAGTCACAATACCGTGACTGGATCAATTCAATTAAATTGTGAAAGATAAGTACATGTACGTATATATTTTTCTCATGAAAAAGCAAACTTCTCCCATCAGCGGACTTCTGCTTTATAAAAATACACTGTATGTGGTAAAGAATTTGCTTTAAATATAAATAATTAGAAAAGCAGAATGCGAGGCTCTAACAATGTTCTTCTTAGTCAAAGGCTTCTGAGAGAGCCCATGAATGAAAATAGTTATTACAAATATAGTCTTCTTCCATTGTGGTAATGTGTTTTATGGAATTTCTTCTGTGGCAAGCATCAGAACACAACATGGCTCAGTACATGACTGTGGGGAAACAGTCCATGAGCATAGAAGCGGACAGAGTTTGTGCATTAAGCAAGTGAGTAGTATGTACTGTGACACCAAGGTTTCAATATTAATTACTGATGTTAAAACTGGTAGCTCAGTGCTAATGGATTTCACTCGATGGACTCAGGTTTAGTCCTGGGTTAGCTAAGATCTATACTGCAGTAAAAAGGTACCTGGGCAGTAGTGGAATGTCAAGGGAAGCACCCTGGGGAGAAGGACCAAAGAACCCCACTGGAAATATGCACACTAAGTGGCTTTCTTGGATTACCCTTGCTTAATATCTGAAGAAAGTTGTTATCTTCTTCAATAAGTTCCACTGCATTACAGCATACAAGTGCAGTCATTACCTCAGTCAACAAATTACAAAAGGGAATTAATAGTTTATAAAACTTATCAGTAACTTATTTTTTAGCTGTCCTGATGAATAATGTACAGACAGCAAGTTATGACTGTCATAAAGCTCTACAGCACTGGAACAACACTTTACCAGACAGCAAAGTTACGACTGTGGTAAAGCTCTATAGCACTGCAACAACACTTTAGCAGAAAGAAAAGTTACGACTGGTAAAGCTCCAGCAGGAGTGTGATGTTTTGCCAGATCATAAAGGATGTATCTACCTGGGTAATTAGTACTGTAGGATAATACTGTCTTCTGGAGGTGCATGTTGTCATATATCCCTGGTGTTGGGCCTGAGGTCCAACATCCACTGCAACAGGCCAGCAGGCCTGTTGCAGTGTTCCTCCTTTCTTATGTTCTTATGCTGTGTTGGATAAATACACGAGTGAGAGGGTTGGATGTGAGTAGGACTCGCACATAGAGTAAATAGAATTATCAAAACTTATTGCTCTGGTAGCATTGAAAATTGAGATGGGCAAATATTTTGTTAGTGGGATGGATTGTGAAGGACCTGCCTAGTATGGGCCAACAGGCCTAATGCAGTGTCTTATTATTAGTACGACAGAAATGTTAAAAGCAGTGCAAGATATAGTATTGGAGTGGTTGGTATTTTTTTTTAATAAATGTATGAAAGAGGGGAAGGTACCTAGGGATTGGTGGAGAGCATGTATAGTCCCTTTATATAAAGGAAAGGGGGACAAAAGAGACTGTAAAAATTATAGAGGAGTAAGTTTACTGAGTATACCAGGAAAAGTGTACGGTAGGGTTATTATTGAAAGAATTAGAGGTAAGACAGAATGTAGGATTGCGGATGAGCAAGGAGGTTTTAGAGTGGGTAGGGGATGTGTAGATCAAGTGTTTACATTGAAGCATATATGTGAACAGTATTTAGATAAAGGTAGGGAAGTTTTTATTGCATTTATGGATTTAGAAAAGGCATATGATAGAGTGGATAGAGGAGCAATGTGGCAGATGTTGCAAGTATATGGAATAGGTGGTAACTTACTAAATGCTGTAAAGAGTTTTTATGAGGATAGTGAGGCTCAGGTTAGGGTGTGTAGAAGAGAGGGAGACTACTTTCTGGTAAAAGTAGGTCTTAGACAAGGATGTGTAATGTCACCATGGCTGTTTAACATAT